CACAGGCTCTGTGGAGATAACCTGTCCAATGTAAATGTCTGTAAGTATCTGTACATCGTCTCCTCTGCAGAATGGCTTTTACCCTGGGTTTCGTGAGGATTCCCAGGCCGTCACTTGATGTACAGCGAGTCTGTCCTTCTCTTGCAGCTGTGGTAGGCAGAACCACCATTGCTGGAGGCAGAGCTGGTGGCTTTGGAGCCGGCAGTGGCATGGGAGGAGGAGTATGTACGGTCGGAGGAGGAAGCATCATTGGAGGCAGTTGTGGCGTGGGAGGAGGAATACTCAGCGGTGGCTTCTCTTCTGGAAGTGGAAGAATGTGCGGCTCTGGAGGTGGCAACTTCATCGCAGGGGGTGGATCTTCCTCTGTGCGGAGATGTGTCACAACCACAACGGTCAAATCTTCAGGTGTAAAATACTGAGCCCTGACCTCAGTCCCTCCAAGGAAAGAAGCATCTTTTCCTTTCTCCAGCCAGCAGCACAGCCCCTTCCATCCTGAACCGGTATCCAGCAAAGAAATGAACTGTTTCCCTTATAGCTCACAACCTCCTTAAATCATCCTGCCCAAGGGGAGATTTGCAGTGAAACACCATCCTGTTGGCAGAGCCCGCCTCCTCTCCGAGCTCCACCAGCCTCCAGGGATGAAAGACCTCCCTTGTGGGTACCAGGGACTGCAGAGCTCATCCGAGCATCTTTCGTTGCGCTTCTTGCTGCTACCCCCGGCTGCTGCCCTGGCTGAGGAGGAGCGTGTATAAAACTGCTCTTTCCTTTCACTTTTTAAGGTCTCTTTTTCAATGGCCGTGTTTCCCTTGCAACTTCCGCGTGTCTTGCATGTTGCCCACATGCTTGTTTCAGCTATATCAGGAATTCACGCAAGCAGAAGAAACGTGATAATGTCTCATAGTCAGATTTAGGAGTGAGAAACAGGTCTCTGGAGATGTCCACCTTCTCTCGGTGGAGTAATTTGGCAGCTTTAATATTTTATAGATTCCTTTCCCTCTTCTCCTTCACACCTGACGTATGTATGGCCTTATTGCAAACTTTCCGTTGCGTGAACCCTGCTGCATGGTTGCTTTCTACCAGCACCCCTTTCCTCCAAGTTCTTGCATTACTAATAAACTGCAGACAGATGAAAAGATATCTTTGTGTCGTCTTATCACTTAATGGTCCCCAGGGGAGGGAAAACATGCTTTGTTGTTCACCATAACGAATGGCAGTGCCCATGGTGCTCTGTCCTATGGTGCAAATCACTGAGCGCCATGAACTGCCCAGCTGAGGTGAGGAAGATGGCCCTTCTCTCTCCTCTTAGGAGGTGCCGTCTTGCTCCTCCACAGTAGACTCCCCCTCTCTCTGTGGGGTAGGAGAGCCATGGCTGTGAGGAGTGTGGCACAAGAAGGGAACATGTGATGTCAATCTAGTGGCAAAGAGGTGGGGGGATTGCGCTCATCCCAAGCATAGCAGGATGAAGTGTCCAGCCGTTGGTTGATGGGCACCTCAGGAGCGAGGCAGGCAGGACCACCAGCGGGAACATTGTGGTTGGGACGTGGCAATGAATAGCAGCAGTTGGTCTGTGGTGATCTGGATGTGATGGCTTGAACATGGTGGTCTGAACAAGGCAGTTGTGGCATTTGGACTGGGCAGTTTGAACATGGCCATTGGGATGTAGCAGTTGGACTTGGCAGATTGAACACAGCCGTTAGGATGGGCTGGTTTGAACAGGGCCATTGGGATGTGGTGGTTTGAACGTGACAGTTGGGATGTGGCAGTTGGACTGGGGTGGTTTGACCACTGCCATTGGGCTGTGGCAGTTTGAACATGGCCATGGGGGTGTGGCAGTTAGCGCCAGTCCTCGGCACAGCTGTCATCCCAAGAGGACACACAGCCAACCCATCATCACCACGCAGTGGCTCAGTCCTGATGGTGCCTGGAGCTCCCGCCCAGGTGCTCTGGAGGCCTTGATGGGGAAGGACATCAGCAACAGGTCTGTAGTGGGCAGTTAATGCACCGATGAAGAGTGGTTGTCCTCCACCCTTGGCTGGCACAAGGGCAAGCAGCACCATCTATCTGATGAGCAGGGCTCTTACATGGGCACTGGCACCTCATACGTGAGCGGTGGGAAGGCCTGAAGACGCTATGTGGACACAAATTACTCATGAAAAAAAGCAGCGTGAAAGTATGAGACACAGCCTCAAACCTGCTATTATAACTCCAGATTGCCCAGCCAGGCTAGTCATTAGCCCCATCGAAATAACATCCCATTGCAACCAAATTAATTTGATTAATGCTTGGCTGGATTCTTCTCCAGCATTGGGAGGAGCGAGAGCCGGACCAGTAGGTGAATCAACCCTGACTGTACTGTAGCGTGTGCATTACCCTGGTGCAGTCTCGGGGCTTGTCAGATAAAAGTACAGAAATGGAGAAGATCTGAATTGCAGAGTCCTTGCCATCTACATGAACAAAACAAACAAGGAAGAAATGATAGTTCTTATTTGAACTAGTGTTACTCTCATGCCGCTTTTCTTATTTTCCCACAAATACTCCTTCAGTTGACACACCTGACTTCTTAATCTGATGTTTATACCAGGCTGTAATATGCCTTATTCACTTGTTTGAATAAACAATGACATTTCTGATTCTAAAATCTATAGGTTGGGATGGCAGAGACCAAGAAGTCATCTCCTACTTCCTCATCCCAGTGAAGAGTCCAAGGACAGGTACAGACCAAGATGGTGCGAAGCCCTAGAGCATTCCTGGGGACTTCCTTGGGAGGACGGCAGAGAGAGTGAAGATCTCCAGTGCGTTGAAACCCAGGAAGCCAAAGGTGCAGGCTTCATCCTGCAGAAAACCACAGCTTTTTATAAGTTCCCTGAGTTCTTCCTGGAGGGGGGCCAGGCTGTTACACAGAGGTGCCGCAGTTTATCTTTCCTATCTGCTGTGCTCATGAAAAAGGGAGTAATGCTAATTGCTCGAGTACATCATGCTTGAACAAAAGATTGTAACAGCCCAGTGACTGGGCTCCCCTTCGTTTGCTCCATGGGGCACTGTGCTAGCTGCTAGCTCTGGTGTAAAAGTAGACCCATATTTGCAGCAACGGGGCCTGTTTTGCTTAAAACAAGTGAATTTACTTGTGAAACAGCCTCTGTGTGATCAAGCCAATGATAACTCTTCAATACTTTTTGGTCGAGCTGTTCCCATTTTGGACATAGAGGATAAAAAATACAGAATAAATATATTTTTTGTTGGTTTGTAAGTTCTGGTTTTCTACAGAGAAGGACATGTGCTGTCTATGCTAATACAAAATCTGCCCCTAGGAGTCTCCTGTGCGCTCTGCTTAGGCGCTCACAAGAACCTGCCTGAGTTTTCAGATCATTTTTGGCTTGCAAAGATTGGACTTCAAAGTGAGATGGCAAATGCCTTACTCCTAGCGTTTACCACTGAGTCTCCATCACTCAGTCCGAGTAACGTGGGGTTGTAAGATAGAGTCTGGGATTGCCGGCCTCTCCAGTCACCACTGGTTTAGTGCAAGACCACTGGTGGCTAGATGCCCTGTGGCTCAGAGGACAGTTAGGTCTGAGCTGGTGGGACTCAGAGCACTCTTCCTTCCACCAAGCATCGTTGAGGTGGAACAGAAAGGAGATCTCACCCTCAACAAAGCCAAAAGCAAACTGGATGAACTCTGCAGAGCCCTCAGTGGAGCCAAAGAGGAGCTTGGCCATGCACTGAAGGAATATCAGGACTTGTTGAGTGTGAAGATAGCCCTGGACATTGAGATTGCCATGTGCAGGAGAGGAGAGCAGGTAGATGTCTATCATATAACCTGGTTCAGGGTGTGAGTGGTGCAATATTCTTTGCATTAGAACATGGAAAGAAATGTCTCTTCTCCCAGCTAGCGATAGGATGAGAGGAAATGGCCTCAAGTTGCGCCAGGGGAGGTTTAGATTGGACGTGAGGAAAAATTTCTTTACTGAAAGAGTGGTTAAACACTGGAACAGGCTGCCCAGGGAAGTGGTTGAGTCACCGTCCCTGGAGGTATTTAAAAGATGTGTAGATGAGGTGCTTAGGGACACGGTTTAGTGGACATGGTGGTGTTGGGTCGACGGTTGGACTTGATGATCTTAGAGGTCTTTTCCAACCTTAATGATTCTATGATTCTATGATTCTAAATATAATAGGTGCAATATTTTATGAGCTTATTGGGGAATGGATCCAGGTGGCATTATATTGGCAGTAATTAGAGCTGTAATGAGTTTTTAATTGTTACTAATCATCCATATTATGGGAGGGCCTCAGAAGCTACCAAGATTGCTTCCCTTGGGTTGGTCACTGTGCAAATACGGAGGAGACTCACCCACTTTGTAGTCTTATTGGATATGACAGCGAAGAGGTAAGCAGGAAACATTTGTTTTTATGAGTGGAACTGCTTTGTTGAAAGGATGGGAACATTGTCTCCTGAGAGGTAATCTGCCTCTGCATCCTTGATATTTACGTGGCACATACCTCCTGAGCAGCTGGAGTCCTTCACGATCCTGAAGGATGAGACGTTCAGGGCAATGAAGCTGAGGTGCAGAGGTTATAGGAGGTTAAGTGTGGAAATCAGCATCCTTTGGTCCCTTATCTACACTTCAAACAGCAACAGCAACATCCCCAGCTCACTCACCTCCAACTCGACTTGTCTAAGTTCAAACCTAGCTCAAATACTCACTAGAAAACCCGCTGACTTTCTCAAGAGAGACTGAAATCAGCATATCACGAAAGCAGCAACCACCACCAAATATCTGGGCTTGGAAGGAGTTTTAAAACCCAACGGTGAAAAACTTAAAAGCTTCTGTAAGCAAACTCATTGGCAAACGTACCTAAAGCTACGTAGCTACCAAAGAAATTTAGCTAAGGAGCAAAGTGGAGCTCTTCTGTTTGCTTTTTCAAGCTGTGTTCCTGTTCTTTTCTTCTAGATGCTAAAATACCTCCTTCCTTGCCTCTTCAGACCCTGGCTGCTCTTGCCTTGGATTCATCACGAGTGAAACTGGTTCTGTTGTCAGTCTCCAGGGATGTCTTGTGCCAGCAGGGCAAATCTTGCTGACTGGCTTACTGGGATCCAAGGAAGCCTGTGTCTTGAAGCATCATCTAGGGCTTTGCAGGAGAATTTGGGCCCTTCATCTAAGTTAATATTCACCTCAACTTTGATTGCAGAGATTGTGCCAACAGTCAAGCGCCTTTCATCCCAGCCCTTTCTTCCTGTTTGATGTCAGCCCCGTTCCTCCGTGCTCAATGAACTGCAAGCAAATCACATGCTGCTCCTGTGTTACGTGTCTCTGAACAAAATATCTGCTCCCACATAGCCAGGTGACCTGGATGAGTGCTGCCAGTGGATGTGGTGTACCTCCAGCTCCCTCCATTTCATCCAGTGCTCTCTCAGCTAAAGCTGGGACGGGTAGAGCAGGATTTGCAGAGCTTATGGCAACCACATCATCTGTGTTTGGTGCTGACAGCAAACCTTCCTCCTCTTCTTCCTCACACCCACTCTGGCTTGGATGCTGGTGCTTCTCTGCCCTTCATCTTGCTTCCACACTCACTAGCTCTGCCCTAAGAGTGGGCTGACATTCCCTTAGATCATGATCCCACAATCCACATTTTCTGGCCAGCTCTATTGCTGGTGCCCATCAGGCCTAGCTGAAAGTCTACATGACATGACATGGCATGGCTTGGCATGGCATGACAACATCTACTCTTAACTAGAAGTACGGGTTGAAGCAATTCTACATCTCCCATAGCCTGGGGACCTGGGCTTGCTGGGCAGACCTGATGAAGATAGGGTAGACATGGCCACAAAATGCCACTAGAGGGCTTGCAGCCTGTGCAAGGGACACTGCCCCGTTCTCACACACACCTGAACCTGCTATTGTTCTCCAGGTCAATGACAAATTGACTTTCCCATAAATTATCAGTCAGGCTGAGATGGGAATTTCAGGTTGTGTAGAAAACCACCACCTAAAGGAAGGACCGGCTCCATTCTTAGTGCAGTCATCACTCACAAGTGACAGCCTGATGAAAGATGAAAGGACAAGTGGTGTGTTGCATTTGCCAATAACTGTGTTTGTGGCAGATCTGTCTGAGCTGCAGGTCCTTTGCCTTGCCTGACCTTTACAGGGTTTGATATGGGGCCAGAATCAACTGAAACAGGAAACGGTCCTTGTCTCAGACTTGGACAGCCACTTCATGCTGGTCCTGGAGGTCCTCAGACCAGCCTCCCTTCCTCCTCCCCCATAAAACCACTCTGAAGTCCCTAGAATAAGTTCTCTAATTTTTTTTTGTGCTTCCACAGGTGTTTGAAATCTGCTGGAGTAAAGGCCGGGCTGGCAGCCAAGGAACCAAGCCCTTCAGCTGACTTGTGTTGCTTTCTTTTCACCTCTCCGACCAAGCCCAGTTCCTTGCAGACACATAAAGAGGAAATACACTGATCCTCTGTTAGAGGGTCTGGTTTTGTGCCACGGCCTTGTCCGTTTGAAATAAAGCAGCCAAACAAGGGCAAGGGTAGCTCTGGTATTGTCGTACCTGCCAGCAGCACAGCCTGCCTGAAACCTTTTGGTCTGAGAAAGAAATGCTTCTGTGGCTTTGCAGTAGAAGTCTCTCCAGAAATGGTGGGAATAGAAGTGTTTCCTACAGGTTGAAAGTTCTCAGCTGGGAGGGCACTTCGGTGCTGAGTGCTCCTAAGGTGGCGTGGCAAATCTTTTTGGTGAAAACAGGTCGTTTGTTGGAAAAAGATATGCTAGTTAACCTCCATCACATCTGCTGACATCCAAGAAGTCACCCTGAACCAAGACTTCCTGGCACCTCTCAGTCTCGATGTTGGCCCTGAGGTCTGGAAGGTGCAGATGCTGGAGAAGGAGCGAATCAAGTTCCTCAATGGAAACATTGCCTCCTTTGACAAGGTAGGAGTTGTAATTTTTTCACTGTTACACTTGTAAAGACTCCTGGTGGGATATGGCATTCAGGGGTAGGTAGATAGGTCCCTTTTCTGGAATATTAGGTAGGCAAATTGGGCTTTGGACAGGGGAGTTGATCTGGTGCTTGGATCTGACAGGCTGTGATGGCTGAGGTTACTCACACCAGGCTACCAAAACACTGGTAAATGAAATGGGATACTTCAGGCTTCGGGCACCCTTTGGCCCCGCTGGGGGCTCAGTGGTTATTTTTACACTAAGGTGTGCAGCAAACTGCTGCTCTGGATGGTTTTTAAAGCACAGACTGTGCCAGGCACCACTAGAGGGCTCAGAAAAGATTTTTAAATGCATAAAAGATAGATCTAAATTACTCTTTACTGCAAAGCGTTAGCAGTCTGTCTCCCTGCAAGGTAGAGAGCCAGCATGCCTGTGGCTCCAAAGGGTTTTTGGTGACAATATATGAATTTTGTTTCAAAAACCAATGTATGGTTTTGTTTGTACAGCACCTAGCACAGACAATTGATGGCCCCGACTGAGGTTTAACAGTGTTTAAAACTTTTGTATATTGGAAGATTTGAAAGCAGCATGATTTGGGAAGGACTGTGACCTTTTGAGTCTCAGGGTTACTTCTAGAGAGTAGAAGTAACTACTCTTCTTGGCTCTTCCCAGCAGTGGCATGCCTTTGCCAGTCGTTCTGGTGTGCAAATCGGCCTCTGTTCCTGGGGACTGGCATTCTTCTGCCTTGGTGAGCAAAGTGCAGCTGCAGGCCAGGGTGGAAATGGCTGATGGATGAGATAATTCCCGGGATGTTAATACTTCAGTTCCATCCCTCTTGGGCCGTGTAGCAATGCCGATAACTTGCTGCTAACGTGGACAAGAGTTGCAGCATGTCCCCTAACAGAGCTGAGTGCTCAGCAGATTTTTATTTTTCTTCCCCAAACCGGAGGTTGAATGCGGACCCGGGAGAATTTCCTTTGCTAAAGGACAACTTTGAGTGGCAGCTCATCATGGGTGCCTCTTGAAGTGCCAGGACTGCCCATGGTCATCATTTGAAATGCCCTACCCCTGTGCCACAATATGAACGGCGGTATCTGCAGGCTTTGAGTGATCAAACCAGCCTTTGTAGATTTTATGATACTCTCCCACCTAAAAGAAACCATACTAAATGTTGCCCTACGAAGCTTGCCCTAAACCCTACGGACTTATGTTGTGTGCAGTAATAGCAACCCCCACATCGTGCACTCGCGTGATAAATACTGCTGCAGTGCAGCCTGGGCCTCTGAGCAAACTACTTCCACCCCCAGCTCTTCCCCGAGACTTGCAGCCAGCACGTTAACAGATCCCCTGGGCCATGAGACAGGCAGCCAAATACCATATCCTACCCAGGCAGCTTTTCCAGAGCAGAGGGACGTGGTAGCCTGAACCACCAGCCCCTGGCTAGTGCTGCGCACAAGCGGGCACAAGATGCGCGTGGTCCTGAGGAGTGCTGGTGGGAGGCGATGGCATGTTGCCCTCCCCGGGCCCATTGCACCACCAGCTCGAAGGTGCACGTCAGCAAGCCGTGCCCAACCCACCGTGCAAAACCTGCTGGCCCAGACCCAAACAGTGCTCTGTGGCAGTGCTCCAAAAGCGATCAGACGCTGTTCTGGCATGCAGCGAGAGCGAGGGGGCTGCCAGTCTCAACTTCTTTGGAAAAAGCTGAAATAAGGGCTTGGCCGTCAAATTATGTTTTGCGACTGCTGCTGTGAACTGGAGCTTTTAACTGGGAGATGCCATGAGACAGGAACTCGTTGATTTGCTGGGGGAGCGCCAGGTCCTGAGTTCTGGACACCGTATGGCCTTGGTGTCTGGGTAAAGAAGTGTGGGCGTGGGACTGGGACAAGTTAGCATGATGGGATGGATCTTCCAGGCATAGTACCGTTTATGATGGTCTAAAGTGCTTCTGAAAGTCAGGTATCTCATGATGCCACAGGTCTCTTCAGAGGATAAATGCTGGGGAATCTCGTACCTTTGGGTCAAACTCAGTTGCTGGTCATCGTCACATCTTCCACCAGTCAGGCCATTGCAAATCCAGGAGAGACTGGTGGAATGTGGCTTGTCTGAAACTGTGGACATGCACAATATACCTGGCAGAACCCCTCTGATGGAAGAGTCCTCTTGGCTAAGAAATGCCATCCTTTAAAACACTGCTGGCATTATCTGTAAGGTTGTGTTAAAAGAAGCTTTCACTAACGCTGTTATTATGTGTGGAAAGAAAGATACCTTCAAGGGTGGATTCTCCGGAGAGGGAATCACCTTCTGGAGGTGGTGATGAGCTTTGCAAAGAACCTAAACGGCTAGAGGAGCCAAAATTCTTGCTTCAGAGTCGGGCGTCACGTGATGCCTACACTAGGTGACTTTTCTTCAGACCTTTTCCCTTGCTGGGCGGGAGGTCTAGTCTGAGAATAATCAAAGTTCTGGTGCTTTTTGTGTTGCTCTACCTTTTTGTCCACCTGTTTTGTTGTCCTGTGGATGCTGTTATTGCTGCTGCAGAGCTAATGATAGCAATTGAGGTTCCAATAACTCAAGAGTGATTTACTCAACCGATCACAAAGCCTGACCTTAATTGGACTAATTATCAGCTCTAAGCCAATTGGGAGGCCAGCCCTGGTGATATGTAAGTGTGATTGGGTGTGGTGAACTTCCCAGATGTAATGACACTCTGCCCAGAGAAGGCAGCACTGGGACCCACTTCTTTTGTAGGCTGGTAATCGCATTGTTTACTGGATTTTGAACATCTGCCAGAATTATTTCAGCTGTTTCAGCTTCCTGTGGGAAGGGATGTTATTAAAATTGTTCTCAATCATAAACAGTGTCTTCTGATGCTTGCCATACCTCTCTTAGCACGTTCTCTACCTCTACTCTCTGACCAAGTGAAGCGGTCCCCAAGGTCCCAAACCCTTAGAGAGGCCATTCCTGTGAGCACTGAGTGCTGGTGTCAATTACTGAAGTTCCAGCAACTCCCTTTACTTATTCGCACTGTGGATCTTGATCCAGAAGCTGCCCTAATATTTTTCCTCTATTTATATCATGGATGCCATGTACATTGACTATTTTTCTGCCGGGAAGCAGCTGCACATATAAAAAAGTCATGTTTTCTCATGACAGCTGGTGCATTTAACCTAGAGTTCAACTTAGTTCCCTCTTCATCCTCATTTTTCTTTTTTTTTTTTTTTTTTTTCTCTGCAGGCTGTATCTCTCCTCCTCCTGAAACCCTTTGGAGATTTAATCTCTGCCTTGCTCCAGCACCACACGCCCCAGCTCGAGGGCATCAGCTGCAAGTTTGCTGTGTGTGGAGGAACCAGGACTTGCTCAGCCTTTAAGAGATCTCGGGGATCAGAGAGCATAATATTTTGCATGAGGTTAGCCAATAAAGTAAAAAAAGTAATAAGCTTCTACTTCATCCACTCACTGCAGTTGTTAATAACAGCAATAGAAAAATTACGTCACTATTTTCACACATTATATTAAACTGATACTTTCACATTCTTGTAGGGGAAATAAGAGATTAACAGATATCATAATTATGATTAGTATTTTCTGAGTAGATAATTTAATATTCTAGGTGGTTACAAGTAAGTTATTAACTTGTTTACCTTCCTGTTAACCCAGAATAATTAGCCATTTATTAAAATAGCCATTAGTCACTTGTTAACGGGATTGTAAGGTAAAGTAATACCTTGTTTTGTATTAGAAGAATAGTTGCTGGTCCAGACCTGAGACTAAAATCAAGCCTTATCACAGCCCACCACCCTCCCCATTCAAAGTGTCTCAAGCAGGCAAGACAAAGATGGGAAGCGACCTACCCCTAGAAGTAGGGGACCTACCCCACACCAGGTAGAATTCATCCTGCCTGCCTAACTCTGGCTTTCTCAAAGTCAAAGGTCTAATCTAAAGCCGTCACGCAGGCTCCCTGCACAGTCGAGGAGAGAGGTTCATAGCTCCAGGGGCAGCTCTCCTTGCTCCTCGTAGGCTTTCCATCATTTCCCACACCGTGTCTCCTTAGCTTGCCTTGCTGTCATTGTACTTATGAACTGAGCACTTGCTTCCAACCTCTTACAGGTTGGTCTGTGCTGCCCCGACCTCTTGGTCTCCACCTTATTCTACTTGTTGTCCTTCCTCCACTCAAAAAGAAATCACTCGCATGCAAGCAGAGGTGCACTGTTGCTTCTTACCATCTGAAATGCCGTGGTCCACCGGTCGCTTCCTTACGTCTGTATTATGGAGCTGCTCCTGATGGAGAAGCCAGTGACAGGGACTGTGCCAAGTTCCTCCTTATCTATCCGTTGAGCTCACGTTGTTTGGAGTGGCCAGCTCTGCCCTCTCACCTTCAGTCCTAGCCTCCACCCTGGTTCTCTGCAATTCAACCACAGCATTTCCACAAAATGCTTCTGTTTACCAAAGACAAAACAACATTTTCCCCCAAAAACCATCCCCAACTGGCTGAACTCAGTACCCCCTTATATCAGTCTGTGTGGGACAAAGCCCTCCCATCTCAGGGGCTTCCCAGACCTCCTCTAATTATAGTTCCCTCGTCAGGAGGCTTCACTGTTTTACTATGAAGGGTTGACAACTCATGTAATTCTGAACATGCCCTGATATAGGGTGCTTTTTCTGTGGTCTCACAGCAACTTTCAGTTCACCCAGATGTAGGTCTGGGTGAGGGAAACTCCATCTGATCTCTGCGTACCATAGATCACATATGTGGGATCATATTCCTGCTCCCACCTTGAAGTGCCTGTATAATAAGTACAATACGGTCTTGCAGGCAAGGTGCTCTCCAAGCTGGGGAACCTCAGAATTAAAGTAGCATAAATCTTAGGTAGAATACCAGCATTTCACTTCTTTTCTGCCATTGCAAGGTTTTTGACACTTCTCTTCCTTTTGTTCTCTCCTCAGAATCTGTTACTGCCTTCACTGGCCACAGAAAAAGGTTATTGTTAGTCCCTGTGATGGAAGATGGGAGAAAATGAAAGTCTGTGGAATGAAAGGCATTTTTATTACTGTGTCTATGTGATCTCAGTCCCATTTTCTAAGTGACTTAGGGCCCTACTTATGCAGGTATTTAGGCAACTAGTGATCAAGATCTATTTCAATCCTGTGTGTGCATGTCTCTACTTTTTCTGGACAGCTATTAAATCTAAGTACTGTATTTATTAATGTACTACTCTACCACACTGCTGTGTGTCCACTGTACTGGTGTGCAGTAGTTATTTAATAGTAATACGTACATTACTGTACTTATTTACCTACCCTCTGCTCTGCCAGTGTGGCTTGTAATGATCACTAGGTTATGTCTGGCAGTGATGAAAAGTAGCTAGATCTTTCTTCTGAGACATCTGCAGGATTTTAGTCATTTAGGCTTTCTATTTTGAGCTGATTAAAATGGTCCTGCAAGAATGTAGAGGCATTTCCTTGAGCGTTAGCCTAAGTACTAGAATTTATTATTCCCATTTATTATTTGGGTTGACTGGAGCTGGACAGAGACGGATGTGGGTTGTGGAGGCTGGCAGGTTCCTGCATCAGTTGTGCTCAACTAGTTAAGCTTGGGTCTGTTCGTGAATTGTCTTTATGGTTTGAAATTGTTAATCCTTGGCACAGTCTCTGTGACATGGGTCTGACGGAGGACGGCTCAACTCGCGCTGCTTTCACCACCTGAAAGTCAGGAGTTGAGCGAGCTCTCCAGGTTCCCTTATGGTCCATAGAGGGAAATGAGACCATCCAGAAGGGCACGCTCATGTCACCTGTCTCAGAGGCTTCTCCAGATGGGAGGAACATCATCACCTGCTTCACGGATTGCTCTGGATGGGAGGAATAGCACGTGAATGTCCTGTGCTCTCTCCAACAGCTATACAAGAAGCCCAGGCAGCCAATTTTACATGAATAACTTTTGGGATGCAGTTTAAATTTATCTTAAAAATCCCCAACAACAAAAAGCCAGGTCGACCACGTGGCTATTTGAATAGCCCCTGAGGACTTCCACTCCCTGGTAGATTCTGTGATAACCCATCTCTGTGGTAAGGATGTTGGTTGAACCCGTGGTCCTTCTGGTCCGTGCATGTTGGGAACCGTTTTGCTGTTTCTTTCAAAGGATCAGAGCAGAAGCTACCCAGGCACATCCGAGAGCAATGCCAAGTCATTGCAGGGAAGAGGGAGGTATCACAGGAAGCTCCCCCTTCATCCGCAGGATGGGTGAACATCTCTCTGGATGCATCGCTGTTTCTGGAGCCAGCTCAACAGGTTCAGGTGTGGCTTGGCCTGTTGTGCCAAGGCTGACCTGGTGCCAGCAACGATCACAACAGCAGCCTACACACCGTGCTCTGGATTATGTGGCACGTGGGGTAGGATGGCTGCTCTTCTTGTGCAGGGTTTGCAGGAGGCCTTCTCAAGCAGGACATGGCTGCCTCAGAGACCAATGCAGTGGTTCTGTATGAATTGCCACCTGGTTTGCTTCACACAGCGAGCTGACGTATGTATTTAGGGCAATGATTTTGGATAGACATTTATCTAACAACTGTTCCACATGGAGCTGGCTTGTTTGGTCTGTGGGTGTTCCCTCCCCTAGGTCATAACACTTCCTTCCAAGGTCCATGTGGATAATCTAAAGTATTGCCTGATGCAGTGCGCGTTGGAATAAGCCACTCTCAAAATGGAAAGAGGAGGGATGAAGATGAATTGCACCCAAAGTAGTCATTGACAAACTCAACAGACAGGTGAACAACAGCAACCCTTTAGAAACTCTTGTGCATGTTGCTGAGGAATTGTTAAGGCAAGCGAAAGGGATGTTTTAGCTCAGACCTCACAAGGAAAATCATGGGTCATTGTCCACTGAGTCTCACCTCCTCCTGACATGAAGTCATGTATTGTCCTCCTAATCTTTACCTGAGCCTAATAATGGCTCCAAGGTCCCACAGGAGTTTGCAGGGAGCACATACAGTTCTGAAAGCATCTTTCAGCTTGACCGAAATATGGGAGTGAAGGAGGACAATTTACATTGGTTTCTCTTGAGATGCACCGGCATCTAGAAACTACTGAGCCCAACTAAAACAGAAGAAGAAAGATTTTTGTGTAATATCCTAATACTTTGGCAAACCTTACCCAGATGTGTTGAAATGGGTCTGTTGCCAGATTTTTAAAATCATGGTCATTACACATTTTTTTTTCTTTCACCATAATTATTCTTTCCAGCAGGACACAGAATTCTCAATCCAAGTAATTTTTATATAGGTATATAAAAAGGGGGAATTCAGTGGGAAATTTGGTTGAAATTCTCACTAAAACAGAGGTAACTAGTAAAGCTTAATTACAAAAAAGTAACATAAATGGAAGGTCTGGGCTACCAGTTGGCCATTCCTGGTGTAAGGCTAGAAGAGACCAAGTCTGGTAGGGAAAAGCAGTACTTCTCATCTGGTTGTCTGGAAAACCTGTGTCTACTTCTGGGAAAAGCCCTTCATCTGGTCGCTAAACATCCAAAATCTTGTCCACCTCAAGATATTTCAGCTGGTCTAATAACAGCTGGTCTAACCACCTCTCCCTACAAACCTTTCATTTAGGGGATTTACAAGGCACTTTCCAAATGGAGCCAGAGCAAGGATTACAAGCCCTGACCACGTAACCTCTATGTAACTGAAGGGTTCACGGTGTGGCTTTATTCAGCACCTTTGGAAGGAAGAGCATCCCATTCAGGTGAAGCCCAGCTCCTCCTAATGTTGTGTAGGGGACAAAGGGAAGGTGCTTGCCATATGGAAGTTGTTCCACCAGTGCTTTTGGAGACAGTGTGCCAGATCTCAGTTGTCTTCCTGAGATATCAGTCAAGGCTGAAGACTCTCAGAGGCATTGTCAGCAGCAGGACTTGGCTCCCAAATGCTTTTTAACGAGTCCATGGCCTTTGGGTCTTGCACTGGAGTGTGCTCAGACTGGAAAGGTGGAGTCTTGCACAGGGGTGAGGAGAGGAAAGAGGGATGGATCAGGCAGATGCTCAGTGGGAGAATCTGGTTAGAAAAGCTTGGAGCCCAGCTCTGTATTTGATATCTCAGCTACCCAGTAGCGCAGCCTTTAAGAAAAAAAAAAAAAAGCCACCCCACAAACAGGCAGTTTTAGTTCATGATCTAACTATTCCCACATGGAAGAGCAGCAGCAACCATAGCAGAAAGGTCAAGAGTCTATGGAAGTGATGGGTCATCTGTTCCCTAAGGTGACCTCATCTTAATCTTTAATAGTTAAAAAATTGGTTTAATTGATTAAAGTTTATCTCAGAGCTTTCTCTTTTCCATTTAAAACTCTGTATCCATTCACTTAAAGCTAAAATTGATACAGAGATTCCATTTTTTCCTGTTTTCTAGACACTATTTCAGCTTTATGAACCAAAGGCAGATTTTTTTTTTTTTTTAATGCCATTAGCAAGAAGACCAGATCGCAACACCTTCCCTCTCCCTGCAGAAGCAATACTAGCTGATGGGTGGATATACTGGGAATGAGAGAAAAGAGAGAATGGGAAGTTAAGGGAGCTGTAGTCTTTGCTTTCTGTAGTAGGTACTCCTGGTGATGCAGTGAAGCAAGGTGAGCCACCCCCAAGTCAATATGAGGACAATATCAAGGCCTTCTGCCTCCTGAAATGAAATGCCAAAAGAGGTGGGGAAATTTGAGAGAGAACAAACCATGGTAATGTGCATGGATAGCTGTGTGAACTGTAATTAATGATGGAGGGCAGGCTAATGAGATAAAGAAATCTCGTCTGAGCAAAGCTCATGAGTCAAGCAGGATTTGGGGAATTTCACAATTCCTCCACTGGTGCGTGGTGTTTACTCTGACCTCTCTTCAGGCAGCCATTAATTGCTGCCTGATGAACCAAACCTGATAACAACATTAACAGACCTGCTAATTACCCCATGGAATGGAGACGAACTCCTCCAGAATGTATAAAGGAGAACTTTCGTCACCCCCACCAGAGGAGCTGAGGATCCTTCATTCTCATTTCTCCTCCTGTTTTACACCCTTCCCCACCTGCTCTCTCGTCTTCTCTTAACGCTCTGAAAGCGACGCTATGAGCCAACGTTTCTCCAGATTTGGGGATGGGAATTTCAGTTCTTCTTCTGCTCACTGTGGCACGCTGGGTGGTGGGAGAAGTTCATCTACTGTAAGCCATTGTGAAGACAATAGAGGAGAAGAAAGATACAGTGGTTATGAGTATGGTTATGGCAGCAGGAGTCTCCACAACCTTGGTGGGTTTAGGAATGTTTCTGCTGGTGGATGCTACGGAGGAGAAGGAAGAGGATATGGGAGGTGCCTGGGATTTGGTGGTAGGAGACATCTTGATAGGGGCTTTGGTAGACAAGGATATTTTGTGGGAGCTTTTCAAGGTGGTGAAGCAGGGCTCGGTAGCATGTGTGGAAGAAGTTCAGGCAGGGAGGTGCTTGGAGGAGGCCTTGGTAGAAGTGCCTTTGGTGAACAAGGGGCTGGACAGCGTTTTGGGCAGGCTGGTGTTAGCAGAGGCATCGAGGAGGTCCGTGTCAATACCAACTTGCTGAGGCCAATACAAGTACAAGTTGATCCTGAGTTCCAGAGAGTGCGGTCAGATGAGAAAGAGCAGATTAAGGCTCTCAACAACAAATTTGCATCATTCATTGATAAGGTGAGTCCCTGTTCTCTTTTTGACTTGTTATCTGGGCATGGGGAATTATAAGGGGTGCTGCTCTGCCTGTGTGAGTCATGGGGAGACCTTTACATTGCATCTACTCCCCCCCAAAATCACAGCGTTGGCTAGATTCCCTTGGGCTGGTGAGAAGTTCTTAATAGCTTGCTATAAATGCCGCTGCATGAATCACTTACATTTAGCCTTGGGATAAGTCTTTGTGGCAGGACAATAACAAACTACTGGGATGTCACCGACACATTAACACACTTTTCTTTTGAGGAAAAGGGTTTCTGCATGGCTAACAGTATTCTGGTGCCTGGGAATTGTTGATGCTAGCAGGAAAAATGGGTGAGGGACTTGGACATCCTTGATGTGTTCTGTTTTTCTTTCTCAAGCAAAGCAAAATGTTGCATTTCTCTGAATTACAAAACAAATTACTTCTTTTCTTGGAGGTCCTAGCCTCTTTCAGGTGGCCAGTGTCTCCCACATCTTTCTTCTTTATCTCTTCCTTAGTTTACCCTACAATACTTTCACCTCTGTCTGCAGTCTTGCCTTCTCTTTTGTTTCTCCTCACAGACAGGGGAACAAAACAGCCACAAAAACACTTCTACTGGCGCAGACCTGACATATGCCTTTGTTTGGGTGGTGACATGTGTCTCGGCATAGGGTGGAAGCTTGTATTGTTTGTTACATGTGAAGACTTAAGAGTTTCTTGTATTACGCTACAGAAAAGGTGTTGGTTACACCCAGAAGTTTTAAGCACGCTTAGTCCTGAAAAATAGGAGTGCTTTTGACCCTTTTTTTTTTTTTTAAACCTTCTGGATGTCAGCTTCCAGGTTATAACCGGTTTAGTGTCCCAGCTGAAGAGATTCTATCCCTCTGGTTTCCAAAAATACCAGCTCTGCATGTTATAGGTCTTTCTGACCTTCTTCTCTAAGGCAAGGTACATCTAGGAAGAGAGTGGTCATGTGTGGTCTTCTGAGAGGGGGCTAACTCTTCTCATGTATTTGGGTGTCTAAGGTACTTCAGAAACAGCTGAAGTCTCCCGCCACCCCTATCATCCCCCTACCTATCGTACATTTAAGAGATGAAAAGCCAGCAAAGATTTCAGTATCAACTTTGAGAAGCAGGAATAAAATCATACCCTTATGCAACAGATTGGGAAAAAAGAGGTGCCCCCCCTTTTAGGCTAAGCTGTCTCGTGCGTTGGTCCCAGTGTTACTACAGTTGGTCCCACCTGACGAAACCTCTAGGTGTTACTGCGTTGGAAACATTAATTAGGATTTGTTTTGCTATAGGGAC